CCCCCTGCCCCATGTGGCTGCCCCCCAGCCCTTCCGTCTGCCACTCCAATTCTCACTTTTCTGGGTTCTTTTATCTTTTTATCAGCTCTTCCTGGCCTCTTATCTTTCCTTTATACCTAAGATACCTCCAACTCCCAAGTCTGGTCTCTGCTGAGGGTTCTCCTGGCCTCTTCTGTGCGTTCAGCCTTTGGCCTCCGCTAGCTGCCTTCCCGCCCCCTCCCTAACGGTCCGTCCGTCCGTCCGTCCGTCCGTCCGTCCGCCCGCGTAGGCTGGAGGAGCGGCTAACTTGGAGGCGAGTATGGCTCCATGTCATGCTCTCCCTCCAGTTCCTGTTCCTGTTCCTCCTTCAGCCTCTGGCGGATCTCCTCCGCCTCAGCCCGGTCCTCATCCTCAAAGAACTCTTTGTCCAGACGCTCCAGGTGTGTCATCTGCACCAGGGCCTCCTGGCGGTAGTCGGTCTCATCTGCGCACGGGTTGTCCAACAACACCAAGGCTCGCAGCTTGGGCAGGTCCCGCAGTTTGGCCAGCTCCCCCAGGTCACTAATCATGTTACTCCTGTGGATGAAGTCACGAGGGCTTAAGTCAGGAACATGGGCTTTGATTGCTAGCAAGGAATTGGGCTTCCTCTGTAAGAACATCAGGCTGAGCCCTAAAAGCAATGACTGTCGAGGACTGTTCTGCCAAGCAAGTGTGGCCAGCCTTGGCCGGATGCAATTCCCCAGTCCCGCCTCTACCCTTCAAGGAATCCCTAGTTGCCACTAGGGATTCCTTGCTCTGTGATGTGTCTGTCACCTAAAATTTTGGAGCTGCATGCCGGGCGTTGGTGGCACACGCCTTTAATCCCAACACTCGGGTGGCAGAGGCAGGCGGATCTCTGTGAGTTCGAGGCCAGCCTGGTCTCCAGAGCGAGTGCCAGGATAGGCTTTAAGGCTACACAGAGAAACCCTGTCTCGAAAAACAAAAAGCAAACAAACAAACAAACAAAAAATTGGAGTAGCAGCTTTAGGCCTCATCCTGCCTTGTATTTGGAGAGGAAGGGCAAAACGTTCTTTATAGGAGCAGATATCTTCTGTGTCAGCCATATCACACCAGAGGTTAGAAGGGTCAGATCAGCAGGGAAGGAGCTCGTGCCTAAGTATGAGGTGCTGTGGAGTTGGAGTGCTGTGTGGATGCTTCCCTCAGTAAGGAGCTAGGGATGTACTGGGTCTCCCAGACTGAATAAAAAGGCCAGTCCTCTGACGCCGACTTCTGAGACTCTGTATGGAATGGCATATTCCTGGCTTTCAAACATTTATGAAATCATTCTTAAGTATGCCACTCTAAGCTCAATATATATTGTGGGCCTCCAGGAACATTTCCTACTTTGAGCTCTATTGGCATTTTATTGGGCTCTGTACATATTACACATGTGCGAGGCCTTGGGTTTGATTGATAGAACCACAAAAAAAAAAAAAATCAAAGAATTGTCCATCAGAAAAGAGGTGCTAAGAGAAAAATCCCTCTGACCCTGTGTGTGTCCAGTCATCTCTTTCCTTCCTCTTCCTCCCCTCCTTGTGTATATGTGGGAGGCGTGAAACAGAGCCTGGCTATGCAGCCCAGGATGTCCTTGAATTCTCTGAAATCCTCTTGCCTCAGCTTCCTAGGTGCTGGAATTATAGACAGGAGCCACCATGTCCCTTTGTTTTTGTTGCTGTCATTGTTTTGGTTTGATTTTGTTGTTGTTTATTTTTGGGGGGGTGTTTTGTTTGTCTTGCTATGTACCCTGGCTGGCACAGAAATACTATTTAGACCTGGCTACCACCTGGAGCTTGTAGTAGTCCTCCCCTCCTGCCTCTGACCTCTTGAGTGTTAGGGTTATGGGCGTGTGCTGCCACAGCCGGCCTTGAGTTTTTCTTTTCTTTCTTCTTTTTTGGTTTTTCAAGACAGACAGGCGTTTGCTGTATAGCCCTAGCTGTCCTGAAACTCGCTCTGTAGACCAGGGTGGCCTCGAACTCAGAGATCTTACCTGCCTCTGCCTCCCGACTGCTGGGGTTAAAGGCGTGGGCTACCACCGCCCTGCTACATCTTATGTTTACCATCAGTTAAGGACTGTCATCTCCAGGTAGTGTTCAGTTCAGGAAGAAAGAGACAAGAATGGAAAGGGTGACTGGGGCCTCGGAGACAAAAGGGCGTTTGTGTAAGATATAGACAGGAAAAGGCACTGGAGTCAGTCTGTGAATTGCTTAAAAAACAAGGACTAGCAGCATAGTGGTGAATGCCTATCTCAGCTACCCGGGAAACTGGGTAGAGATTGGGGCCAGCCTGGGTAACGTAGCAAGACCCCCATGTTTAAAAATGAAAAAGAAGCTAAAGTGGGACCAAGATCAAACTATAATGCACAAACTGACTTTGTGGAGTCCATTCTCTATGGAGAGATACCTTGCTCAGCCTAGACACGGGGCAGGGGGGCTGCCTTGGTCCTACCTCAGCAAGGTGTGGGACAGACTTAGTTGACATCCTAGGAGAGGCCTTACTCTGAGGAGTGAATGAGAGGTGGGATGGGGGAAGGAGGGGAGAACAGGAGGAGAGTAGGGAGGGGGAACTGGAATTGGAAAGTAAAAAATAAATTTAAAACCCCCTCCAAAACAAAACAAAAAAGAAAAGAAAAGAAAAAGAAGCCAAGCACTGTGTGGCACACACCTTTAACCCCAGCCCTCCTAGGAAGGTAGAGTCAGGAGAAACTTTGAGTTCAAGGCCAGAGAAACCCTGTACAAACCAAAAAAAGGGGGGGGGGAGAAAAAGAAGGAAAAAACAGGGACCATTTCTGATTCTTTTAGATGTTTCTAAAACACAGAGTAGGCCTCACTAAATACAGTATGTTCTTATTCATTATGGATTAAATTAACATAAGGACTCAGGGCTCCCAAGAAGATTGTGTTGCTCTCTGAAGTAAATGCCGAAGAAAGAGAGGAAAGCAGAGGGCAGGACTCGGAGAACAAGGTAAGGACCCAGCCGTGGGTTGCTGGGAGAGGACCACTGACTCAGAAGCTGCTCTTGGTGATGGGCAGATGCAAGGTGGGCCTTGGAGAGGACAAATCCCACACCTCAAGTTCAGGTACTGTAGTGACTTCATCTCCTTGGAGAAGCCGTCCAGAGTCTCGATCTGGTTGTCTCGGAGATGCAAGGTGGTCAGGTTGCTGAGGTTCTCCAGGCCTTCGATCTTCTTCAGCATGTTCTGAGCCTGCACCCAGCACACAATACATTGACTCAGAGGGGGAGCACAAAGAGGGACGTGGGAAAGGGTGATGAAGCAAAGAAGAAATCCAGGTAGAGAGGGGGGCATGGAGAAGGAGAGTAGGGGTACATAAGAGAGTGTGGTCGAGAGGATAAAGAAGTCCCAAACTAGGTATGGTGGCCCACCCCCCAAATCCTAGTATTCTGGAGGCAGAGGCAGGGAGATTGTAGCCTGGGCTACTTAGTGGGTCTCCAGGCATGCCTGGACTATAGTGTGACACCCTATTTCAAATACCACCCCCAAAAAACAGACAAAGAAGGAATCAGTAGGATTGCTGCATCAACCAAGCCTGACAACCTGATTCATTTGCCAGCACCCACCCAGTGGGAAGAGAACTAACGCCTGCAAGTCATCTTGGACTCCATCTGCATCTCCCTCATAAAGAAGTCACTGTAAAGTGATTTTTTTTTTTCTGAGGCAGGGTTTCTCTGTGCTTTGGAGGCTATCCTGGAACTAGCTCTTGTAGACTAGTTCGAGTGGTCTTGAACTCAGACTGTAAATTAATTTTTAATTTAAAAAGAGAAAGAAATTTAAAGACTAGATTTCCCAGAATTACAAAAAATAGGATGATGATAAAAATAATATAAAAAATATGCTACTGGAAACTAGAAATGTATACTAGTTTCTGGGCTAGTTAGGCAGTTTGGTGGTAGCACACTCCTATAGTGTGTACAAAGGCACTGGTTTCAATCCCCAATACCAACAAAACAAAACAAAACAAAAACACACACAAAAAAATAAAAGGAAAGGAAGGAAAGAAAAAAAGGTAGACATAGGAAAAGGAAAAGAAGAAAGAAGCTGCTACTACAACAAACGCTCAGCTGTGCTCTCTTGCAGCCCATCCCGCCAAGGCCATCTCTGATTACAGAAGGGCCGCTTGAACCTGCCCTTGGCCCAGGAGGCCCATTAGCTCATCGAGGAGTGGCTGTAGTACCAGTCCAGAAAGCAGCATGCCCAGCCTAAAGGGACAGACCCTTAGAGGCTGACACAACAGTGCACAGCTGTGACCCCAGCTACATAAGGAGTTCAGACCAGTGTAGACTATACAAGGAGACCCTGTCTCAAAAGTAAAGCAAACCTGGGGCCAAGGCAATGGCTCAGCAGTTAAGACCACCTGCTGCTGTTTCCGAAGACCCAGGTTCAGTTCCCAGCACCCACATGGCAGCTCACAACCACCTGTGACTCCAGTTCCAGGGACCTCACCTCCCTCCTGATCTCCAGTGACACCAGGCACACACATGCCACTACACAGACATGCATGCATACATACATACATATATACATACATAATATGGACAAAACACTCATAGACATAAAAGTAAATATTCTTTAAAAGTAAAGTAATAAGCCGGGTGTTGGTGGCGCATGCCTTTAATCCCAGCACTTGGGAGGCAGAGGCAGGCGGATCTCTGTGAGCTCGAGACCAGGCTGGTCTACAGAGAAAGTTCCAGGACAGCCAGAGCTACACAAAGAAACCCTGTGTCAAAAACAAAAACAAAACAAAACAAAACCAAAAGTATAGTTGATTATAATGGTCCATACTGGAATCCTGGCACTTAGGAGGTAGAGGCAGGAAGACCAGGAGGAGTTCAAGGTACTCCTCAACTACATAGTGATTTCAGGGCTATATAAGACCCTGTCTCTGGCCAGGTGGTGGTGGCACACGCCTTTAATCCCAGCACTCGGGAGACTGAGGAAGGTGGATCTCTGAGTTCCAGGCCAGCCTGGTCTATAGAGCAAGTTCCAGAACAGCTAAGACTACACAGAGAAACCCTGTCTTGACCCCAGCAACCTCCAAATAAATAAATAAATCTCTGTCTCAATAAATAAATAAATAAATAAATAAATAAATAAATAAATACTAAATAAACATTTAAGTGGCCTCCTTAGCCTGCTTTCCATACCTGAATAGCTCATTTTGCAACAGCCTGTATCAAAACATTTTCTCTGCATTTTCCACACAATGTAAATTGTAGTCCTGCTAGATTGGAAGCCTACCTTTCTTGCTCCCTCTCCCTTATTCCCTCCCTTTCACTCTAAGAGACAGAGTCTTATTCTGTAGTCTAGGCTGGTCTCTAACTCTCCGCCTCCCAAGTACTGGGAATATAAGCATAAGCCTGTGTTGTCTTAACATTTCCAGGGTATCAGACGCCGTGCAAGCACTCATCACCCTCATGGTGGTGAAGCTAGCGGCTGAGCCTGCTGGAAGCCAGGGCTGTGCTCCCTTTCTCTGCACCACCCTAGGGCCCAGTGTGCTACCAGGAAGAGATTCTTCAGCTTAGGAAGGTTGAGTCCCAGAGTGCTTTCTATCTGGTTCCCTCGAAGTTCCAGGGTGTGCAGGCTAGTCAGTCTTTCGGGATCCAGTCCAGTCACTTGGTGGATGCGGTTCCCTGCAGAAGAGGAGGGTATCAGACACTCAAAGGTCCAGTGGCAATGTTCAACGTTAGAAATCTTGCCCAACCCTCCATCCTCTCTCCCTCTAATGCAGGGTAGAAGGGGGGGGAGGAACAACCCCAGAATAGTCTCTTTGGAGCCCCAAGGCAAGTGGGCAGGAAGGTTTGTCTGTCTGTACTTTGAGAATGAATTAGTGATGCCTAAGCAACGCACCCTTCCCTCCTGAACGATGACTTCCTCCCCTCCAGCACATTTTCCGTCAAATGATGTTTTCCCTAAACAACCAGTTTGAAATTGTCATCTGTGCTGGACCTAGTGGTTCAGTACTACAGTTCCACTTACCTAAGAACCTGAAGGGGCAGACTCATAAATCTAAGGCCTTCCTGGGCTACTATGGGGTGAGTGAGTTCAAGGCAAACTTGGGAAACTTATGAGACCCTATCTCAAAATTAAAAGTAAGTCGAGGCTGGAGAGATGCTTCAGTGACTCAAACTACTGACTGCTCTTCCAGAGGTTCTGAGTTCCATTCCTAGCAACCAAATAATGACTTACAACTATTTATAACAGGATCCAATGCTGTCTTCTGGAGTGTAGGTGTACATGCAGACAAAGCACTCATACATAAAATGCATAAATAAACCTTTAAAAATCTTACTAAATAATAATATTAAAAGGTTATAATTGAGTGGGCCAGTGGTGGCACACACCTTTAGTCCCAGCACTCGGGAGGCAGAGGCAGGTGGATCTCTGTGAGTTCGAGACCAGCCTGGTCTACAAGAGCTAGTTCCAGGACAGCTTCCAAAGCCACAGAGAAACCCTGCCTCGAAAAACAAAAACAAGTTGTAATTGAACTGGGGATATGGTTTAGTGAGAGAGTGCTTGCCTGGCATGCACAAGGCCCTAGTTCAATCCTTTGTAACACACACACACACACACACACACACACACACACACACACAGAGAGAGAGAGAGAGAGAGAGAGAGAGAGAGAGAGAGAGAGAGAGAGAGAGAGAGAGAGATTGTTACCTGTGCCTTTCACAATGGCATTTCCCCCAATCTATTTTTCAATAGAATTTATATCCTTTTTGAGTTATGTTTTTCTGTTTTATTTTTTTAGACAGGGTCCCACTCTGTAGGCCAAACTGACCGGTAACTCCCTATGAAGCCCAGACTGGCCTTGAACTCTAGCAATCTTGCTTTGGCCTCCAGCATGTAGGAATTAGAGTTGCCAGCCACCAAGCCTGGCTTATAATTACTTATTATGATCATTGTTAATTGTCCATCACCCTAAACCAGAATGGACTCTACATAAGAATAGAGATTTTTGGTTTTGCTCATTGCTGTATCTCTAGCATGAAGAATTGGCATAAAAATAAGGAGAGGCTGGAGAGACGGTTCAGTGGTTAAGAGCACTGGTTGGTCTTCCAGAGGACCTGGGTTCAGTTCCCAGCAACCAGATCAGGCAGATCACAGGAGACCTGACACTTTCTTCAGGTTTCTGAAGACACCTGTACATATTCATACCCATGTAATTAAAAATAAAATTAAAAAATAATATTGTAGTGAACTATAATAAGTCCAGTCCTCATATAAGTATAGGCAAGGCTTTTTTTTTTTTTTTGGTTTTTACGAGACAGGGTTTCTCTGTATTGCTTTGGAGGTTGTCCTGGAACTCTCTCTGTAGACCAGGCTGGCCTGGAACTCACAGAGATCCACCTGCCTCTGCCCCCTGAGTGCTGGGATTAAAGGTGTGAGCCACCAACAGCCAGCATAGGCAAGGCATTAATACTGAATTATATCCCCAGTACTGCGCATATCCTAACAAATAAATGAATGAATCCATAGATAGCTATGTGGCTCAGCCAGGAGTCCTATACTGTGGTGATATTTTAGACAAAAAAAGAGGAAATGTGGTGATATTCTGTTTATGATCTAACAAATAAAGCTTGCCCAAAGATCACAGAAGCAGAGCAGCCAGCCACTAGAGAGTTCTCACCTCTACCAATGCTCAGATCAAAGGGGCGTTCCTGTCCTCAGACTGCATCTGTCTCCACCAAACCCCAGGCTACACTGAGCTCCTGTCTCCTCCCACCATACTGCCTACTTCTGTCAGCCCCATGCTCAGAAGGAAAGTTCTGTGTATCTCTTCCCAAGGACCCACCTTTGAGATCCAGGCTTCCTAGACGGGGATGAAAGATGCCTTCAGTGTCCGTGATCTGGTTGTAGGAAAAACTGGCAATCTGCAGGTAGGGCAGTTCGTTCAGCCGAGCACTCCGAAACTGGTTCCCATCAGCCTTGAGCCACAGGAGGTGGGTGAGAGAGTTGAGCGGCGACAGGTCTGTAAGGTGATTCTCAGAAATGTCCACATAGCGAAGGTGAATGTAGGAGCGCAACAGGTAGATGTCTGTGAGGTCCCTAGGAGACAGCAGGGGGCGGCGCCACCAGAAAGGATAAGAACCCAGCAAGATCTGGAAAAGGTGCTCTCCAGAGGGCAACAGAGACAGCTTATCAACGGGATGACGGAGTGGGAGGGGGAAAAGGAGGCAGGTGGAGTTTTGTTCTTGTTTTTCAGTGCAGAGATGAAAACCAGGGCCTTGTACAATGCTAGACAAACCCTCATTGCGGAGTCTCTGCCTAGCTTGGAGACATAGCTTAGTGTGTGTGGTGGGGAATGCTTGTCTAGCATGTACAAGGAGCAACAAGATCATGGACACTGAGGGCATCTTTTCATCCTTCTCTTCCCATGAGATCAGATCGGAGAGACAAGCTCTGGTCAAAACATTCAGGAACGAGAGAAGGGAGGCTCGTGGTGCTCCAGTTTCTCCGTCCTCACCTGTCTTTAACCTCCAGCTTAATATAAGCGTGAGCCAGTCCATTGCCAGTCTTGCAGAGTAAAGACAGCCCTTCCTTCATCATGGCCTCCGTGAGGGGTGTGGGCATCCACTGCAAGAGGCGGGCAGTAAAGGCGTCACTTTACAACTCCCCTCGAGCCCCAGAGCCCCAGGGCCCCTCCTCCAGGCTCTCACTTCCTCGGAAACTTCCTCCCCCTCCTTTTTGTAGTCATCCCACTCCTCCGTCTCCTTGTCATCATCCTCTTTTTCCAGGTCATCCTGGTCTGGCTCAATGTCATCCAGATCATCTTCATCCGACATCTTTCTCCCCTCTGCCCTCTTGAGTCAGATGAAATTCAGTCCTGGTGCTGAGAAAGGAGACGTTAAGTTCCCACGCCACCAAATCCTCCTGTACAGCCTCGTGACTGCTGACCCCCGGCCTGTGCATCGTCCCTCGTCCCGGAGAACATCTCTGGACTCCCAACCTCTGCTTGGAGGACCCCACTCCCTACAGGACACCTTCCCATACCCCTGGCCCTTTCCTGCCTTCACAGTGGCTCCAACTCTGTCCCAGCAACCCAGTGTCCCTGCTTCCTGAATTCCCTCTGATAGAGTTCTACACGTCTTCCTAAAATCTCCCCACCTACACCTCACCTCCAGGTTCCCTTCCACCCCCAACCCCTGCTCCACTCATTGCTTCTGATGCGATAGATCGCTCTGTTTAACACCATTGCGCAGACGCACAGTCTCCAACCCAATTCGCCTTTGGAGGGAGGCGCAGACCCTGGTTCTCTTCCTCTAGAGTAGTTATGGAGAGGATCTTGGTGCTGAGAGGCCAGGACTGCTTTTTGGAAGACGCATCGGGGGCGGAGTGGGGGTGGGGTACTCCGGGCTGTATACTGTTGTTATGGCAACGGGGCGGGGACGCTTGGCTTTGCAGCCAGCTACCGTTAAGAACTCAGAGTAACCCAACCGTAAAGCACAAACCCCAACGCCCCCTACAGTCACCTTCGGCGGGTAGTTCAGTGGTTGCCAAGTTACGAGGCCAAATTCCCAATCCCACGAACCTGGAGGAGGCAAGAAGAGTGTCACGCGGTTAATTGTCCGAGGACATAAAACAATGGTCCACTTATAACAGCCTTGCAGAAAAGTGGGAGGGAGGCGGGGCTGGCCATTATGTCCTTAAAGGGACCAGATGTCCGGCGCAAAGGTATTGTGCTTTAAGACTATCCATCTCTAAGAAGCAAAGGGGGTTTGTTTGGTTGAGTGGTGAGTGGGATCTATCGCTGCTCAGGTTCGGCTCATTGGTTATTTTCTGGTAGGCCTTGGAAGGTGGGTGGCCTGACTGAACAGAAGCTCAGGCTTAAGACAGGCTTGTAGGTACCGGAGAGATGGCTCAGCAGTGTCTGCCCTTTGAGGGTTCTCAGCACCCACGTCATTCCCACACCATCTGTAACGCCTTCTCCGGGGAGATCTGATGCCCTCTTCTGATTTCCAAGTGCACCAGGCACTCACGTGGTGCACAGACATATATGCAGGCAAATGCTCATACACATACAATAATAAATCTAAAAAAATAAAATTAAAGGCCCAGCTTGGAGTTTCGGCAGATTCACAGCTTGCTAGCATTTGCGTATGAATCTGTAGAATAAACTATCCTTAACAATTGGTGGGAGTCTACTGATTCCTCTGGGGTTTTGCTGTTGCTCTGTTTTGTTTTGTTTTGTTTTGTTTTGTTTTGTTGAGACTGTCTCTCTACGTAGGCCAGGCTGTTTTGAAGTCACTCCTCTTTTCTCAGCCTCTCAAGTGCCTGGATTACAGGTGTGTGTTACCATGCCCAGATAATATTATCTTGTGGAATCTAAGGAAAATAGAACAATTAGGTAATACAAGAAGATATGGGACTATTTATCTTGTTAACATGTTTTAGATAAAATGCAAATCAGAGGCTAGAGAGAGGGCTGGGTGGTTAAGAGCAGTTCTGCTGGTGCAGGAAACCCAGGGTTGATTTTCAGCACCCACAAAAGGTGGCTCACTGTCCTCTGTCACTCCATCTCCAGGGGATCCAATGTCTCTGGCCTCCATGTCCATGCTCCTCCCCCCAACACACATACAAATAGTTAAATCTTTTTAAAGATTGCAGAGAGGTCTAACGCTTTGTGGGCTGAAAGTCAGGAAGTGACCCTTTGGATCAGTCTAGATTGGAGAACAAAGTAGACAAATCTGTCCATCGGGTGTCAATGAACTAACTGGGGCTGCAGGGACCCCAGGAACTTCAAAGTATAAACACTTGTTTCCACACAGCGCTATCTCATGGTTGTGTGTTCTTCGGATTATGTCACCCAAGCCCATATTATCTAAAAATATATTGCTGAATTATGTATGAGGACATGAAGCTGTAAACAGTAGCTCGCTGGAAGTTGAAGCAGGCAGGTGTTCCAGGCTAGCTTGCATTGCCTCAAAATGGAACCGCATACACCTCAAAGGAACAGAGAATTTTCAAAAAACAATATAAATGGTTCTTTACTTGGTTAACCATAGGTAAGGAACTCCTGCTCCTGACCCTCTCCTCAGTATTCCCAGCACTGAGTGCTGAAGAAATAAATTGAAAAATGGTGTTGTGAGATAGGATTGTCGCTCTCTAGGTCAGGATGGCCTGGAATTTACTGTGTAGCCCAGGCTGGCCTCAAACTCACAGCAATCCTGAGATGTACCAGGCCTTTGAATGTTCTGCCCACCTTCGGTTTGTTTCTGGCTAGCTCTTTTAGCTTAAATTAACCTGTTTCTCTTTATCTACCTTTTGCCTCAGGGCTTTTCACAGTTCTTCTTGTTATCTTACTTTCACTGATTCTAGTGGCCCCAGACTGACAGCTGCCTGGCTTTTTGCCCCGGGCATGTCCCTGTTTCTCCTCTTCTCTGTTCCTCCCCTCTGGTGGCTAGAGTCCTCTTCCTTTTTATTCTCTCTGCCCACCTGTCTCACTTATCCTTTCTTTGCCTAGTTATTGGCCATTCAGCTCTTTATTAGACCAATCAGGTTCCTTAGGTAAGCGAGGTGAAACAAATGTTTTTGTTTGTTTATTTGTTTTATTTTTTTGTTTTTCGAGACAGGGTTTATCTGTGTAGCTTTGACCAGGCTGGCCTGGAACTCACAGAGATCCACCTGCCTCTGCCTCCCAAGTGCTGGGATTAAAGGTGAGCACCGCCACCAAGGCCTGGCTGAGGTGAAACAAATGTAACACATCTTTACATCATTAAACAAACGTAGCATAAACAAAAGTAACACATCTTTACGTGTTAACAAAGGCAGCAGAAACAAGTGAAACACACTTTCACATAGTTCAAGTAGTATTCCCCAGCATAAACAAACGTAACACATCTTTGCCTAGTTAAAATATTTTTCCACAACACTGAGGCAGGAGGATTGCTATAAATTCAAAGCAAGCCGAGGCTACCCAGTCAAGTCAAGGTTAGCCTTGTCAAGAGTACAAGAAAGGAGAGACAGTTCCATTCTGCCGCCCTCAACAGTCTGAGGAATTCCCTTAATCCCTAGGGACACAGGGACCACAAGTCAACCCTGGATTAATGGCTGCAACAGGGAAAGCAACCTCAGACTATTCCATGAAATCTCAACCGTATGGCTGCTTAAATCAAACAAGAATCAAACAATGGCAACACAGTCGATATGCCAAGGTGGATGAGGGACATTTCACACATCCCCACCCCTAGATGAAGACCTGAGAGAGAACTAGTCTACCCCCTACACACATGAGTCTCTTAAAAGGTGGTCACCAAGTGCTCAGCCCTATACCAGGAACATTAAACAGACCCAGCAGGCTGCATTTATATATTTATTTGCATATATGTATATATAACGTAATGCTTAGAAAAAGAGGCCATAGGAGAGATGGAAGAAGGTGAAGGAGGTAGAAATTGTATAATTAGGTTTTAATAAAATAAAAATTAATTTAAAAAGAATTTCAGAGTTAGCTAGTATGAAGCAGAGTTGGATTTATTATTATTATTATTATTATTATTATTATTGAAAGATTATGATTTGGAGGTGGGGAATAGTTGGAAAGATGGCTCAGCAATTAACCACAATGGATATTCTTCTGGAGGACCCAGGTTTAACTCCCAGCATCTACATGGCAGCTCACAACCATCTGTAACTCCAGTTCCAAGAGATCCAATTCCTTCCTCTTACCTCCTTGGGTACCAGGCACACATATGGAACACATACAAACATATATGCAGGTAAAGTGCCCATATACATAAGACAAAAAACCCAAAAAGATATTTGGGGGCTGAAAAGATGGTTCAGTGAGTAAAGCACTTGTCAGATTCCTAACACCCATGTTAAAAAACAAAAGTCCATCTGTAACCCCAGTACTGGGGACATGGGACAGGAGGTTCACTGACTAACCAGTTCTATCAATTCATGAGTTCTGTGTTCAGTGAGAGACCCTGTCTGAAAAGATAAGGTAGAGAAAACACAGAAAGTCACCTGAAGTTAACCTCTGGCTGGCCTCCCATGAGCACACACAGAAACACACACACACACACACACACACACACACACACACACACACACACACAGAGAGAGAGAGAGAGAGAGAGCTTTTTATTTAATTTTATTTTTAATTTTTATTTTTTTTTTGGGGGGGGACAGGGTTTCTCTGTGTTATCCCTGGCTGTCCTGAAACTCACTCTGTAGAACAGGCTGGCCTCAAACTCACAGAGCTCTACCTGCCTCGGCCTCCCAAGTGGTAGTCTTAAAGGCATGCACCACTCCTGCCTGGCTGACCTGTTTAATATAGACTCTAAGCGTGCCAGTTAAGAAAGGGAGAAGGGTGTTTGAAAAGAAAGTTCAATTCAGGTACCTGAGAGCCCCAGTGATTCACCATCTTTACCATAGTCATATATAAGATGCTGGTGATTGCCGGGCGGTGGAGGCACACACCTTTAATCCCAGCACTCGGGAGGCAGAGGCAGGCAGATATCTATGAGTTCGAGACCAGCCTGGTCTACAAGAGCTAGTTCCAGGACAGCCTCCAAAGCCACAGAGAAACCCTGTCTCAAAAACAAAAACAAAAAACAAAACAAAACAAAAAGATGCTGGTGACTTAAAGATGTTGGTGATTTGAAGCTATTTTCTTCAGAGCGTCAGCAAGGAAGCTAAGCAGGGGGTTCCTGGAACACCCAAGGACATCACAGTAGATGAGATCTCACAGGGATGCAGGAAGGCAGAATATCTCTACTACAAACCAGGTTATTGTCATTGTCTGAGATTCCCAGAAATTGTTATCTCTGTGCCAGCAATCTCCACAGAGAATGTTGTCAATTGTGCTGGCCTGGAC